AAATCAGGCAAGTTTGTGTATGAAAGCGTGATTTTTTTCTTCATTTTTTCATATAAAATTCCGTGTTGATCAAAAAAATTTTATTAGTGAGTGACACTTGACCCCCTGTAGATCCGCAATGTCCTGCGACTGATAGTAACTTGTACGTTTTTACATTTTAAAAAAAAAAACAAATAATCGTTTTATATATTTTAACCTATTTTCTCTCCTTTTCCACTCCCTGATCAATTTGGAACAATTTGATGCATGAATTAGATGAAGAGTGAAAAAAGACATTTTAACGAATCATAGTTCAAGGCATTTTTACCTATAAACAAAATATTTATTGAATACAGTTCATTCTTTCTATAACAGCCTTTTCTATAATGGTTTTCATGCTATAACATATGTCTCATATACTAATACTGTCTCTATGATGAATGAACTGTAGTTGAATAATTATCATTAAAATAAAAATACATATTCAAAAAATAAATATTTACATGAATTATAGGAATTTTATACATCAACGTGTAAGTATATTATTAATTAATAGGTTGAAAATTTACCAATCATTTACTAAATTAAGCTCTCTATCCAAATCTATGTTTAAACTATTTACAGGAGTGTTGGTATCATCATTGTCATCTACTTCCTCTTCTTCAACTTCATCATAATCATCATTGGTTAGAATGTCAGGTCCTTTTTCAAGTCTCTTATTGAATGATTTTACATTACTATCTATACCCTTCTTATAATATTCTTCACAATATCTACATCGTTTTTCTAATTCATTATAGCAATTCACATGGTATCCATGACCACATATTAGCACAACTTCATTATTTGTGGAAGTTGATAATAAACCTTTGCAGTGATCGCATAAGTTAATACTTGGGGGATATGATGTGTTGTAACCTGCTGGGAGAAGTTTTGTATCCACAATTTTATCTTCATTTTCTAATTTACTTTTTCCAAGATTTAAATAAATTGAATGGAAATAATTTAACAAGAACAAGCTAGTTCTTATTGTTAACTCCTCCAGCACTGGTTCTGTATATGGATATGTACGTTCATTTTTGAATGCTTTTATTGTTGTTTGATCATGAAGGTCAAGTAAGTATGCTTGGTTGATTATGGCTTCTGGAGTATGTAATGAGGTTGTATTGTTTCTTATTTTACTATGTATGTTTTCAACATAATAATCATTAGCTAAATATAACTTTATTGTTTCATTAAAAGGATGATTTTTATCTTTCCAATAATAATAATCAGATAAAAATGCCAAAGGAGCTTTGTTATAGTTTTTTCTTCTCCACCTCAATGCAAAGGTCCAGATATGAAATACAGTTTCCAAGTATTCTTCAAAAGAACCTGACCTAAATAATATTGTGTATATGTCTAAAGTTGAAGGTATGATATTATCTAGAAGGTCTATCATCATTCTATATTCAATATCTTTGCAATTTTTGGGAAATTTATTTAATATCATGCGAGAGATTTTTTTCCAACCTCTACTTGCAAGATCTAGCAAAAGATTAATTCTCCAAGGCTTTGGTTTTTTTGCCAACACTTTTCTTGATCCAAAAACATAAATGAAATAACTTATTGAAGAACTCCCAATGCAATATTATTATATGCTCTCTTGAATTTAATGATATGTGTAAAGGTCCGATTAATGGTACAAAATTTTTAAAAACTTTGTATTCAGTATTAAGATTTTGTTGTTGTTCCTGTTGACTAATTTTTGTTATTATTTTTCTTAAAAATAGCTGTCCAGGCCAATCAGCAACAATAGGGATTATATTATTTTGAAATACTTTCAATTTTAGTTAATGTTTGAAGAACTTCAAAGATAATCATTCAAAGAGTGTAGATTTTTTTGTTGTAGATTGATAATACGAACTCCTTTCATTGATCTATCATGATATTTTTCTAAGATTAAAGCATCATAAAAATGCACAGTAAGGAGTTCAATTCTATTTGTTTCATTGATTGAAGCATTTTGACTAATCCATTTTTTTTTACGCATATTATAACTAACTTCAAATATTCCTTTAAATTCATCCATTAAATGTAATTTAATTCTATCTGCCTCAATATTTTTAGGATTATGGATATGAATTTGATTATATATCGCAGGAACTTTTTTACATTGTTCTATTTTTTTAGAAACAGAGGTTGCCATATGATTTGCTGTGGAAAGAGTGGTTGTATTTTGGTCTTCTCCATCCATGGATAGAGTGATAATCATCAATGTTAAAACAAAATAAAGAATTCACCTAAATGATATGTATGTATTATTAATAATTATATGATATTGTAAAATATTAAAGATATAGTCCAAGATCAAGTTTTAATGAGTTAGTATGTTTACTATGTAAACCTGCCAAGAAATAGCAAAAGGTAACAACTGATTTTTTGGCATTTTCTATATTTTTTTCTTTTCTTCTTTTGGAATAATTGCATCGACCATTTCTTCAAAAAATCCTTTTAGTCTTTCATCTTGTTTTTCTATTATTTCAGAAAATTTATCTGGGTCTAATTCAATTTTGTTTTTAAATTTTCTTTGTTGATCAGAAAGGACATCACTTAAAAATTGAATCTTTGATGCAAAGGTAAGATTATTATCTATTTAATAAATAAATGAATTAATTTAATATTTATAAATTAATAAAATTAATTTTAATATAATAAGAAATAAATTACCATTATCAATTTCATTATTTATTGCATCAAAACCAGGTTCTTCATTATCTTCCACACAATATAAATTATTGTCAGGTTGAAGTTCTATTTTATCTATATGTTCAACTATTGATAAAAAATCTTCTTTTGACATGGTAACATTACTTCCAGTTAAATTAATTTTAATTTTAGACCAGTCTACTGATTATCAACCATATTAATTGACAGATTGTCTGAAGAAGTATCATCAGATTGGTTAGATGAAGATTCGTTATATGAATCATTAGATTTTGTTTGAAGATTTTTTGAGTAATCAACATCTAATGATTCACTGGATTTTCTTTTCATTTGATCATTTTTATGTTTATCATGTCTGTCTGGCTCAACAATTTTCATATAATGACTATAACAAAGCTGGTCACCTTCTTCCAAAAATAATATTTATTTTCTAAATCTTTCTTTCTAATTTTATCCATTGTTCCAATTTGTAATTTTCTATAAGGAGCAGGTTTATCACAACCAGAAATAATGCATGGGCCTTGGTTTTTTGGTTTTGGCATGACTGATTTTGAAATAAGAAAATAGAGTGGGTTAGTTTTGATATTTGATATTTTTTACAAGTAAAATTTGTATTTTTTATTTTATTTTGAATTTAAAAACTTTTTTATTTATTTAAAAAAAAAAAATTTAAATCAAACCTTGTCATAACGGATTTCGATCTAGTACAAATTTAGAAGGTATCTGCAGAAATATTGTATTTGATTGGATA